TAAATAGCATCAATCAATACATTTTAGACACTTGTATATGTCTGAGTGCCTCAGCAATCTAAGTGTACCGGGTTAGTGTATATGCTGTGTCCATGCAGAACTTGTGTTTACATTTATTTGGTTTCTTTGTCCACAGACATCAGTAGATGTAAAGAGGACCCGCCAATGCAACCAGACCTAAAACAGTTTCCCAGTACCTTGATGGGGGACAGGAGAAGGAGCTTCAAGGCAGGCTGGTACCATATCCACCTCTGGCTTGAATATTCTCAACAGATGGACTTGGCGTATTGTTACGCTTGCAGATATTTTAGCCCTCCTAATACAGTTTTTTTCTCATCACTGTAATGTTATGACTACAATGCTTTCAAAGTTTGATAAAATAAAAAGTCAAATAATATTTCGAATCTGTCTTTTTAGCCCTGGGTTGAATGTGCCCCTCCATCAAAACCCCCGGCCCCAGCCCGGCCCCCTCAGTGAAACTGATCTAGAACTGCCACTGGTTCCAATTGTTTACGTTTAGCATTTACGATAGCGATTAGCTGATTAGCTTGTGAACGTTAGCCAACTCAAGCGTAGTCACGCGTTCGTCATGTGTCAGACAAGTAGGGCACATTGTTTTACCACGTTTTACTTTGCAACAACGTGTAAGTGTTTTTATGTGTGTCTGTTACAGTTTTACACCTTCTTGACTCGCCTCACCATTGAATAAATAATAGGAAACATCAACGGGTGTGGTCATTGAAGGAGTTATCTAGCCGCAGCGAGAGCAGAACAACATCAATTAGGAAAAGTGGACCCGAATTCATTTGAAACAGTGCTGTCCTTTTTCTATGTTCCAAAGGAAGCACCTTTTTATCTATTTTTGACCCAATGATGTAAACCAACAAAAGTTAATGGAAAAAAAAAATCTCCCTTTTTGGGATTCCTTGTCTCTCCTGTTATAGAATACTGTTGACAACGTGCTTCAGTGCTTTTGTATTGATCTTTATTTGGAGAATGTTTATGTTCCTCTTTGTTTCTGTTCCCTTTACCTTACTCCTTGCAAATGTGTCTCACTTGTCATTTCTCTCTTCCCCTTCTCACAGAATGTTCCCTGTCTCCTGTTTCCCTATTCATTGTTGCTCCCTTGTGTTGCACATTCGAGCACCTAGCCTCTTTCTTGAAATTTCTTAACAGTCTTTTGGACTTTGTCTCTTGATGCTTTGTTTCTTTGTGTCTTGTCACAGACGTCTTTAGCCTCTTCTCAGAACGTGATTTGGGTTCCTAATATGAACTGCTCACTCTGTACTGGGCAAACAGCGCTTTGTGTTTAATTCACGTTTGGATACAATGTATTCTATTTTCACTCTCATGTTTTATTTAACATGAATATAAGACATATCCTGCTCGTTAAGTGCAAAAATTAGAATGCATACTACTGTAAAGAATTTGTAACATTGTTTATCTTTGGTCTTTTTTTGATATCAATAAAATTGCCACAAGAGTCACTGTGTTGAGAATCAAACTAAATTATCATCTTCAAATAGTAAGTGGTGCGTTGAAAGTTGTCGAACAAGAATTTTGCAGAGCCATTGTTTGCGATACTCACACATCATGTTTTAACTGATCATACAACATGAAACTGGTGCAGGGGGAGAGTGGAGTATTGTGAGAAAGTGGGTAATGTGAGATACCACTTGTATCTAAGAAAAAGAGCACAACTGTGGTCATGTGACCGATGAGTTATCAAACCACTCGCAGTTCACCTTGGTCATGAAAAATTTGACTCAATTGTGCTGAAGTAAGCATACGTTTTGGACAAAAAAATGTATTTTTAGTACCTGCATAACTTTCAATTTAACTAACTGTTGCGCTAAAGCTCATTGACTCAAGTGAAAAAAAGCATATTGCTGCAGCTCCGAAACAAAGAGAGCTACAGTGTTGTTGTATTTTTTTTGTTTGTTTTTTAAACGTGCACTTTATTAATTCTTTAAACTCCCAGACGAGTACAGACACGTCTCGCTCCGACAACGTGCCTTCTCTTTCAGATTCGACTCGAAAGGCGTTCAACGACCGCTTCAGAAAAATGAAGATAAATGAGACCTTCAATGGCACTAAGAAAATCGAACATAAAACACCAAAACGGAAAATCTAGCAAGGAAATCACAAAATATATTCAATGGATGTGTTTGTGAACACACAACAAAATAAATCGCCGTTTAACATCAACATAGACAATTCTGAACCAGTCCAGTCTCCTACAATATAGCACACATATTGTCAAACTATCAATTTATAAGGTGACAAAGCTAGCTAAAGATTAGCCTGAATTTTGATGAGAGGTTTGTCATGATAAATTGGTGGTGGTGGGTTTAATTTTAACTCACCACCACCAATTTATCATGTCAGTGATGCAACGCAACATCTTTTTTTGGGTTTAGGTCCACTGGGATTTTCCCATTTAATCGTGACATTTCCCCTGATAAAGTATTTACACCATCTATGGCACAGGTGTCAAACTCCGGCCCGCCAGGTCATCATTTTATGTGGCCCGCGAAAGCAAATCATGTGTGTCAACTTGCTAAAATCTGTACCGAAATGTCAAATTGTCATGTGTAATAAATAACGTTGACATTTTGCAATTATTTTGTTACCGAGTTTACACTCACTTGAACAATAATTGAACAAACAATTATAATTGACTTGATTGATTTCAAAACTAGTAATCCATTAATTTGTTGTGTACAAGTAATAATTTTGTGGTTTTACTGTCATAACAGCCCTCAGAGGGAAGACGTAAGTCCAAATTGGCCCAACACAAAAATTTGTTTAACACCCCTGATCTATGGCATCAGACCGGCCAAACTATGATCTGCAGCCTGGCTCGGGGATAATCTGGATAAACCACCTGCAGAAGATGATATGGAAGGTCCACACCCTGCAGATAATGAAGAATCCGGGGAATAAAAAAAGTGTGGGAGTCGGAGATACCTATCTTTTCCATTGAGCAAAATTACGTGGCCCATGTTTCTAAAAGCGATGTTGTGAGGAAGCTGTCACAACCTATAAGGTCTGGAGGAACCAGACGAAGAGAGCAACTCTACATCTTTCCGTGCAACCTTCAGCGTTGGAATCTAGAACAGGTTTGCTCTAGAGTGAGGGATGTCCTAGTCTGAAGGTTTCTACTCCTGGTTTCTGAGTTGTAGGCTGCTCCACGTGTTTCCGTTTGTTCCTTGTCCCGATTGTGGCCTACCATAGATGTCGCAAAGAGTCCGGAGTTCGGACCCCACTTGTGAAAATGGTTCTTGACCTCATTTGAAAAGTAAATAAATCATTTTGAATGCTATCTTGTTGTGTTTGTTTTTGTTCAGAGTTACCTTCAAATGTTGAGGCTGTCATGGGCTTTCGAGACCGGACTCATTGATTTTGTTTTTTTAATTCCTCGAACTATATTTCTGGAATTAGTGGTTGCCTAACTAGTTGTCAGGATATTGACTTGCACAACATGTGTTGTTAGGCTTAATTCAGAGTGGGGAAAAAATTAAGTGAGTGGATCATTTTACCCCTTGCAGGATCACTTTACCACCTAGAAATCTGGGCTTTGTCTTTGTTTACCCTGTCGCTTTTTTTTTTTTTAAACAATCATATTTTCACTGTCTTTTGTCCTGCATACATTCTGATCATTTCCATTTTTGGAAACATCCTAAATTAATGGAAAATGTGTTCATTTTAGTGATACATTACTTTAGCTTGTACAGAGGAGGGGGGGGGGGGTGTCTCACATTACCTCACTCTCCCCTGCACAAGGGTGTGCACTGTGTACTATTATTTGTGGTCTTCTTTCAGCATTGTTTAAATCCCTCCCTCTTATTTCCTCCCCCCACCATTGTTTTATAACACACCCGAGTTACTTGCATCACGTTATTTTCACAAGCTTTTTTTTGTTGTTGTTGTTTTTACGGAAAATTTATTTTACAATGGACCGTGTTGTGTTGCTGCTTTGGGGTTTTGGTCCTGTGGTTTGGAGCTACAGTTCCGGTCAAGTGGCAGACAGCTGTGAGAACCTGCACCCCCACCACTCTGGACTTCACGGACAAGGTGGAAAAGCACCCTTTACGATCATTACAGATCGTAGAAACTACAGTTTTAAAGAAGAGGTTGCAGGTAAGTTGTAGAAGTAGGGGTTGTTTATTTGTACCTGTATATAGTTTTAAATCCACACACTGTATTGCTCACAGTGTTACACTATATTTTCAATATCATGTTATTTTCTGTCATTCATTATTGTCAGCTAACGCCACTGTCATTTCGTTGATGGATTGAAATCATGTCATTTTCCTTCTTAGTTCAACTTCGGGCCACAGGTTCCAAACCATTCGTTGGCTTCCTGTTACAGGCGAGAGGATCAGGGGATTTGTCTCCTGTCGGTTCTTTCACTCTGAAAACAGGAGATGCTCAGCTCCTGAACTGCAGCCAGAAAACTGTGAGTGTTGGGAGATTCTTACACTGAGGTAGACAAATGTATCGCGAAACATGCTGTATTATTACATACACATCTTGCAAATCGTTTACTCAGTGAGTCCCTTAAAGTGTTTTTCAGCTTCCCCTGTGGAGTGACTTCAAACTATATTTTTCAGTGCCAAATTCTGACCCAATGTGATCTGTTCGAACCATGTCTGATTGGAAATTGTTGTAGTGTACATTTCTCGAAAATGAAATGTACACTACAATTTAACAGCCAATTTGTGTACCATAATAGATCGATGTTGATGATGCCACAGGGAAATAGATCGGAGCTCACTTTCAAACTTTCAAAGCAAGCTGACATTGAAACACACACAGAGACGAACAACCATCCGCGCTCACACTCACACAGAGGGACAATTTCGAGTGTTCAATCAGCCCGCAATGCATGTTTTTGGAATGTGGGAGCAAACCGGAGTACCCGGAGAAAACCCACGACGGCACGGGGAGAACATGCAAACTCGACACAGGGAGGCCGGAGACGCGCTTACCACTGACTCACCCCTACACTCACTCACACGCACGCACGCGCGCGCGCGCGCGCGCAAACACACACACACACACACACACACACACACACACACACACACACACACACACACACACATTTTAGCACATACATTTTGGTATGATGAGTGTCAGATGAAAACCCGTTTTTTTTTGTTTGTTTTTTGTTTTCTTAACCAGAATTCAGCTGTTTCCCATACATCAGAATCACTAAAGACCTCAGTTCAGGTGATATGGAGATCAGAAGATTCTGGATTTGCAAAACCTATTCAGTTCCAGTAAGTACGGTCAACTTTAAGGTTTTTCTCAGCTGCATTCAGAATTCCACACATCTCTGTTGACTTCACTCATGTTTTTCTACAATTATTATTGAAAACACAATTGGGTGGCTTTGCAGCGCTTCCTTTGTGCAGAACTACAGGACATTCTGGGTTAACATTTTAAGCCCAATGCTGATCTTCAAAAATGACTCTTTGGATGTATTACATATGGACTTTAGCAAGACAGCAGAACAACAAGCAGAAATAGTACCAAACTCAACAAAGCAATCCCTTTCATCATGGGTAAGTATTTCATATTTCCCCTCAGTAATACGTAAAATGAAAACATTCGCTGGCTCTGCGCACATTCATGACAATTATTTTGACCTTGGGTGCATGCCCAAGTTCCTGCTTTTGAGAATATGCTAAAGCTAACAGGAAGTCTGCCATTTTGATTCTATCTTGGAATCGAGCGCCATTTTTGGCCTTTCATAGAGGTCATACTTGATCAAACTCCTTGAGATTTTATCTGATCACCTCCAGATTTTTGACACATTTAAGATGAGAAGTTATTGAAGGGCTGATTATTGAGTAGCACGTTGATGCTATGGAGACAGGTTGTTTACAAAGAAAAATTGTGCTGTTTTTGAGGCCTTAGACCAGCGTTGTCAAACATACGGACCGCGGAGGTTCGATCAGACCCGCAGGATAATTTAAAAGTGAAAAAATTAATCAGAGACACGGAATGACTACTTTTAACAAGGTGCAATTCATAGAGTATCCGCTAGAACTGTTTATTAAATTTCATCATTTTCCTAATGTTCTTGTGCTTCTTTTAGACCAAAACAAAGGAAAGACATTATTTTGGTTATTTATAACAGAGTATGGTCTAATTTTAATGGTCCGGCCCACTTTACATCTACCGAGGCTGTATGTGGCCCACAATGTGAAATGAGTTTGACACTCCTGGTTTAGACCTTCTCATGAAATTTGAGATTCTTTTGATATACTGTATCTTTAAAATATCCCAGTAGTGGTCCTAGGGCAGGATGATGAATCAAATGCGATATGGTGATTTCAATTTTGGCTTCTCTCGATCTTTAAAACATGAAAATAGAAGAAAACCTATTACTACAATGGGCAGCTGCGTTTGGTCGAGTTCCCGATGTTGTGAAAGTACCTTGAATGCACCACGGGCGCAACTGGGTGTCTAGTGATGGGTTTGAAACGTTACAAGTCAATTTCCATGAAAAATGTGGTTTGATAAAAAAATAAAATATTTTAAATATACAAATTAAAAAGATACACTAATATTAAAACCTAACCCAGCCGCTGGGGAGCAGTGCCCTCCCCTGGGGGTACACTGTTCCCCGGTGCCGGTCCCAAGCCCGGAGAAATGGGGCGGGTTGCGTCAGGAAGGGCATCCGGCGTAAAACTTTTGCCAAGACGGACATGCGAGTTGATAGGGCGGTTTGCAGGGACGGATGGGAATTAATGACTCGCTGTGGCGACCCCTGAAAAGGGACGTGCCGAAAGGAGAAGAAGAAGAGGACACTAATATTAAAACCTATATTTTTTTAACATAGAAAGCCAATTCCAATGAAGTTGCGACATTGTGTTGAACAAATAAAACCAGATAACCGTGATTTGGCAATCATATTCAATCTATATTTCATAGTATACACCACAAAGATGCAATATTTAATGTTCAAACTGATAAACTTTATTGTTTTGAGAAAATAATGGTTAACTTTGAATTTTACTGCTGCAGCACGTTCTGGGACAGGTGGCAAAAAAGTTGCTCAATGTACAATTTAGAGATTAAGTCAACAACGGTCTATCCATCCATCCAACCATCCAGGGTTTGCTAATGACGCCCTCTACGGTCCGTCATATCATAAAAAGGTGAATAAAAATCCGGAGAAATCACTCCATGTAAGTAGCAAGGCCTAAAAACCAACACTGAATTCACCATGACCTTCCATCTGTGACGCCGCACTGTATTATCAAAAAAACCAACAACAAAGTGGAAAGGATATCACCATTTGTGCTCAGCAACACATCATGTCAGAAAATATAGTTTGGTGCTATTTCTCAACAATCCCCAAAAACGTTTCATGTCTGGGCCTGAGCTAATCTAAGCTAGAAAAGTGGAAAAGTTTTCTGTGGTCTGAAGAGCCCAGGTTTAAAATTTTGGGAAATTGCGAACGTCGTGTCCGTCCGGCAAAACAGGAAAAGAATTATTCGGACTGGAATGGATGTAAAGTGCAAAAGCCAGCAACTGATGGAGCAACTAAAGAGTACAGGTACCAGACTGGCCTGCCTGCAGTCCAGACCCGTCTCCCACTTAAATTGTGTGGCACATTATGAGGCGTAAAATACGAAAAAGGGAGACCCGAACAGTTGAACACATGACGCTGTACATCAAGCAAGAATGGGAAAGAATTCCACCGACAAAGCTTCAACAATGCATGTCCTCAGTTCTCATACATGTTTTGAATGTTGTTAAAAGAAAAAGTGATGTGGCACAGCGGCACACATGACCCTGTCCTGGCTTTTTTGTGGAAAATGTTGTAGCCATAAAATGCAAAGGTAATGATTACTTGCTCAAAACAATAGTTAATCCATTTGGGAATGGTTGATTTGAAAGTTTCCTTGAGCGTAGCTCTATCTAGTGGAGGCATTGTAGATTGCGTTTTATAAGCGGTGCGCCCAATGTATGAAAAAAATTACAAAAATGGCCATTCATTGAAGATGCCCCTCATAATCCAATGCGCCTCTTAGTGTGGAAAATACGGTACTAAAATTGTTTTACGTGCATGTTTTTGCTACTGCAGGAAATTTCCAGTGAGGATTGTGGTGTCACAAAAGTGTGTTTCAGGCACCCATCAAATTGTGCCCCTGAACTCACGACCAACTGTTACTTCATGTCTGCCATCATGTTGTCAGCGAGTGACACGGTCATCCAATATGAGATGACAGGGACCTCTGATGGATACATCTCATTTGGATTTTCAGATGATCAGACAATGGTAGGGGAGTGTATTATTTTATAATTTACATTTAGGTTAGCTGCGTTCTCTCTTTTTTTTCCAGGTTCAGAACCAGCCTGCCATTGTTAAAAAACATGAACGTGAAGATATTTTTTAGGGGCTGCTGTTTTTCACCGAAAAGGAAGGCACTGTTATTTAGACTCCTCAAACAATATTCTATGTATAAATGCCTGCAAAATTCATCAATGTTTAAGGCACACCAATGAATTAATGAATAACACACACACACACACACACACACACACACACATATATAGACTAAACTACTTTCCAGTTTTGATCAGAAATGGATGGTGCTCTCGAGTAAATTCAAACGAGCAAATTGTGAAAATGACTCTTTTTATTAGATCAAAACCAAAGTGATCAAACTTTCTCTTCTTACTCATTCAATCGTACTTTATTGTTTTGTGTCTTTTTTTTTTTCTTTTTAAGGGAAATGATGACATCTATGTGTGCAGCAAAACAAGTAACGACCTGGTGCAGTTGCAGCATGCTTTTTCAGTAGGACGGGCAATTCCACAAACTCTTCCTCTGGTATGGAAAATATCTCTCACATCATATATTCAGTGTTTGGGACCGTGTTGCGCTCATCTGGGCATACTGGCACATGAAGCAGCCTCGCCCCCAATGCATCTACAATTTTGGTAACAGAAAGTATAGTCTGTGCTTGGCAGAAAAACATTGATTGAAGTTGTTGCTCAAAATCTTGACCTCTCTTCCAGGGAAATATTTCGGATTTAAGGGTGTCCATGCAAGACAGAGTGATCAGCTGCTCCTTCACCTCGTTCAACCCGATTTCAACTCGAAGGAGCACTGGCGTTACAGATCCACACAGATCCTATTATCTTATGTTTGCTTACGGATCCAGCAGCAGCAATGGTGAGAACATTAACATGATTTAAATGTCGACGTTATGCAGGTTGGAGTCAAATGCAAGTCATTCATATCTTTCGAGTTTCTCACTTTGGAAATGTGAAATTTCTGTCCTTTCCCTTTGGGACATCTTATGAATATTTGTCAGGATTTTGCACATTTTTAGAGTTTATTATCTTTTCCAATTAATTTAAATGGGTTTCAAATATTGGCAAATTTGTGGGAGGGACCGTTCGTAATACCCCAAAGATACAGTCACTAAACAAGTTGTTTCAATATAGATGTAAAAATATTGGTCCATCATTTCATCAGATCAATGATCAGTGAGTCTTTTTTTTTTTTTAAACTGGCTGATTGAGCTCCAAAATCCTACTTTTCTAAAGCCTACTTTGTACTTGGTGCACATTATTTTTGGTGAGATACCTCTTCTGTTCACTGTTAAAAAAAACAAAAAACAAAAATAAAACATTAAAACAAAGATCTAGTTCAAAAATTTTTTTACCTCATCAAACACGATCTCTCTCTCTCTCTCTCTGGCCACAAACTGGTTGAAAAAGAGGTGATGAAGAAGAATACATGAATAATAAATATGCAGGATACTAATATGGGCTTCTTGTGACGCAGCAATCCCTTAATTCAAGAATTTTGGTGCAATTGAGACAAAAAAACGTTTATTTTTGACAGGTTTTGGTCTGACCGCAGACCGTATGAAGTGTGGATCCCACAAACGCAGACTCAGATAAATGGCGATGACAAAAACGTTTATTCAGGAAAAGCGAGGGACCAACAAAGTATTCAACAAAAGGTGCTGGCAAAGCAAGGAGCCAGAGAAAACCAACGAGAACACAAAGCGCTTGTCAATTACAAGGATAGAATGATTTTCGAGAACATCATAAAACGAATAGAAGTGAGTACAATAAAACGAAACCAAGTACAATACCAAGACAAAACAAATACTCACAAACCCGAATGACTATAACGAGGAGGGCGACGAGAAGCATGAACGAGAGATAACAAAGCACTTGAGCAAAAGCGGTGATCAAGAGCAATAGTCCGACAAAGAAGATGGGTCGTCGGTGTCTTAAGTAGGCCACCACTAGATTGCCTGGTCCAGCACAGGTGCACTCCTGAAAGGTGACGCCCCACACTTCCAGCTAGTGCTGAAACACTCAAGGAACAAAACAAAGACAAAGCAAAATATGACAATTTTAAATTGTTAGCAGTACCTTTATTTTTGTTTCCTTTTCCCTGACAGGACAAATCCAGGTCCATACAAATACATTCCTAAGTGCAAACAAGGTCGATATTTCCAGGCCTCAACTTGTCAGAACAGCTGGATGGCCTCACATCATCAAAGCGCATGGTGAGATCGATTTTTGAGTGATGGGTTGCACCGTTAATTTCTCTCTGTGAATGTTTAACCAGTTCAAGGTAGGAACGATTCGTTTATAAATATTTATTTTATTTCTCCGATTTCTGTTATTTAAATTGTCTTCGCCACTTATAATTTAACCAGTTCAAGGTAGGAACGATTCGTTTATAAACTATTCATTTTATTTCTCCGATTTCTGTTATTTAAATTGTTTTCGCCACTTATAAACATTTTATTAAATAATTTAAATTCTGACATCCCTTTTCTGCATCATCATGACAATGATTAGAACATTTGATATACAGTGGTATCTCTACTTACGAAATTAATTGTTTCTGGAAGAAACTTCTTAACTTGAAAATTTTGTAAGGAGAGACGTGTTTTGCATGTAAATGCCCTAATCTGTTCCAAGCCCCCCGCCCCCATAATTCAGACATAAATGTTTTCTAAAGCATAAAAATGTATCAAAATATGTAACAAATACATGTTATAATTACATTATTGCACAATAAATGACAGTTGTGCATACTGTAAAAAACAACTGATCCAAGGACGTTTGATTTTGTCGACTTTTAACAATCCTTCGAAAGTGTCCAAGGCAACGGCATCGTGAGCGATCGCCCGACTGGTGAACATTTTTTCTGGGTGATTCACATTTACGTAAAACTATCGCAGCACCTCATGGGCCGCGGGGCGATTGACGAGGACACTGCATAGACACATATCCATCTATCTACACACATAGACTCATCCGGTAGAGTTCCCTCTTAGCCAATGGTATGCCAGGATGGTGCTCGGTAATAGCCAATGGCAGAGCAGCTAGAAGTATGTTGTGTTCAGGAAACTTAGAGCTGTGACTAGCAGGCCAAACTGTATTTTTACCTTTCACATCTTTAAATATTTTTCGTAACAAGACGCAGTATTTTCCTGTTGAGACGTTTCATCACTTTAAAATGTCGTATGAAGAGACATTCGTAAATAGAGTGACCACTGTAACTTATTCAATTGTTTTTTTCAGGCGCGATGATGCTGATAGCCTGGATGACCACAGGATCCATCGGGATGATGGTAGCCAGATATCTGAAAGGAGTGGCCAAGGGAAATCATTTATTGGGCAAAGATGTCTGGTTTCTGGTGGGGACCATTGATACAATGTTGAAAATTGTCTTTTTTCCAATACAATACAGTGAAACATTTGAAGGCCATCACTTGCGGTGTTGTTTTAATTCTGATCCACAAAATATAGAAATACTGTATACACTCTTTCTCGTGAAGAATTCCTTCAAATCGAGCATAATCCGTGAAACAAAACGGGGCTGTGAAAAATGGTCTCTTTTACAGGCGCAAAAAACACAAGCGCTCGCTCCCGAGGCTGTCCAGCGGCGACAGTCAAGTAGCGTCGACATTCCTCCCAATCGAAATCAGTGCTGGTACACGCATGCTCCCGAGAAGGCGCAACCACCAGGCACAGATTCTTCTCCTTCGAGGAATCTCATGACCAAAACACTGAAAGCAGTACACTCGGGTCGACGCAAAGTAACAACAAGCACCATATGCCTAAAAAAGAAAGACAAAAACAACAAAAAGCAAAGCTCTTGAAGAGCTCTTGCCGACGGCGGCCAACTACGGCGCCATCTTGGATTTTGAGCAAGGCAATCACAGAAGCCTATCATTGAAATTACTCCTCTGTCCGGAAATTGTGTTTAACGGTGGGTGCTGAGGATTGACCAAGTTGGATTGAAATGTGTACAGCGTCCTCCTTCTTGACAGATGTCAGGCTGTCTACTATAACACTCAGAACAAACCTGTGTACACGAATGAGGGCCCTTACCATCACAGACTGGTAGAACATCTTTCGTATCTTTTTAAAGAGGGTAAACAAAGCCCGTCTTTTGAGGAAGTCCAGGCGGCTCTGTCCTTTCCTGTGCTGGGGGTCATTGTTGGTAGTTCAGTGTATCCTTTTATCCACCTGCAGACCAAGGTGCGCCTTTAGTCAAACTCCCCACTGTCACCAAAACTGGGTCCAGCTGAGCTGTGGTCCTCCCCGAGTCTGCCACGATTTCCCTGGTCTTGGTGGTATTTAAGCCCAGATGGTTGAAGTCAAACCATGTGACATAGTGGAATAAAATTCATTTGGCCCTACTCTTTGATGTTTGTGTGTGACTGACCCAACACTTTCCTCAAAAATGTTTTTGTGGTGCCCTCCATTCACCTCTTCGTATAGTATCACACCCACACCCATGATCAGGGTGTTGTATGATGATTATGATGTTGGCATTGAAGGTGGCAAGATCCAGCAAATTTACCATTGGCAAAATTCAAGCATCTCTCATTTCACCAGCAATGGACCAAAAATAAAACAAAACAAAACAAAAAAAACGGGATCCTTTCTTTCACTTTACGGCACGTAGCTCACCAGATTTGGACCACTTTGTTCTTGAAAGAGAGTTTTTCGAAGCTTCTTCCAAGTTGGATGTGTCCGGTACACCTCAGAACGGAGCTGTCCGCAGGGCCTCCTGATGAGTTGCCAGAGCCATCTCACCTGGCTCCCCTTGTTACACAGTTGCGAAAAGGTTCTGAACAGAATCAGAGACACGGGGTAGGCTTGGTGGAGAACGGCATCCCCCAAGAATCGCAGGGGCCCAATTTACTTACATGCATTAGCTTTGCACAGGAAATTGTGTTGAGCTTTTAAATGTCATACAAATATTCAACAATTTCTACCATCGGAATGATCAACTCTGTAAGTAGTTATATAATCCAATAGATTTGTACTTTTGACTTTGCAGGTCCATTTTTCAATGATGGGTGTCACAATAGCAGCCACAGTGATCGCCTTCCCTCTTTCCTTCATATACGTGAAGACCTGGTCTGAGGTCAGTTTACCAGTTTATTCCATTCTCCAACTGTATTATACTGCCTGACAGAGATCAGAGTGAAAAAGATTTGCTTTCATTTTGACAGTACTGTAACTTCAACAGTGATGGATCAAACTAACATCCTTGAAACTACAATCCATCAACTTGTGGAAATGTAGTTCGATCAGATGATTTGTCGAGATTTGTTCACCATCAGAATGGGCCTCTGAAAAAAGCCTGAACCACAAAAATGAATCCGTGCGAGCTGTTCTGCGTCAGAAATTTCAGATTCTGCTATACAGTGATCCCTCACTTATCGCGGTTAATAGGGGACCAGAACTGGCCTCGATAAGTGAACAACCGCCAAGTAGGGTTTGCCTACCCTCCCCGAGGAATTTTTGTGACAGTGTACTTGGGTACCAGGACGTTTAAAATATGTATTTACATTGTAGCTATCTGCTTGTGGAGGCTCTCAGTCGTACAGGAAAGTTCCATCGTAGAAAGGGTTCTGTCAGTCGTCATCTGTACCTGTGGGTAAAAAACAAAAACAAAAAACAAAAAACAAAAAAAAAAAAAAAACAAAAAAGGACGTTTCACCCCCAAAAAAACCACATGAAGTTGTTAAAACCCAGATTCTATCCATACCTTGATGTGGTGTTGGCTGTAATTTTCAGACTACCGGGGTTGCGTATGAGTTTGTCCAGGATGCTGACTATCTGTTCAAACTTGGGCCGGTTGTTCCTTTCCTTCTGCCAGCAGTCAAGCATCAGCTGATAAAGCGTAGCGGGGCAGTCCATGGGCGGGGGAAGGCGGTAGCCCTCATCGACAGCCTTTATTACCTTGATATAGCAAGGAAAATGAAATTATTGATTTCAGCTTGACATTGCTGCAGTCGATGTCTGCTGCCAATTCGGTGCTATTTTGCCGACAATGGGCCATTTGTGTACTCACGTCTTGATTGGACATCTCCCAGTAAGGCCGTTCCCCATACGACATGACTTCCCAGAGCACAATGCCATAACTCCAAGCATCGCTCGATGATGTAAACTTCCTGTAAGCAATTGCCTCTGGAGCTGTCCACCGGATAGGGATCTTACCTCCCTGTGAGACCAGTAGTAGGGGAAAAATAAATCAGACAGACAGAGGTTTGTCAACTGACTTTTAGCCAAGACCTTGCAATATCAACGTCAACTCAACTTAAAATGGGAAGCTAGCACAATGACGTTCTTGAGGACATACATGCTTTACAGTTGAATTATGTCTGGATGGATTGGCTCAACCACGATCATACAAAATGTTCTGCTTGGCCTTGAAGCATCCTACGGGAACTGAAAATTCAAGAAAGTTGGCCCGTCCAAACAGGGGTGCTAAGGCTCTGCATCAAGCTCTCCCGCATGAGACTTATGCACCTTGCCCTTTCCGAAACCTCTCCCAAAAACTTGAACTCACAGAGATGTCCAAATCTCTTGATAAGATGATTCACAAAGATTGAAGAACTCAGGATTCCCTAGATACCACTGATTGTCTTGTTAAGTGATGGGTCAAGCCAATTCACACTATGGTCCATGCAGATTTTTTACATTTTAGCTCTCTCTCTCTCTCTCTCTCTCTCTCTCTCTCTCTCTCTCTCTCTCTCTCTCTCTGAGATAAATCTGTATTTTAAGTACTGTCTATTAAATGTATCCTTCTTTTTCTTGGAGGTCATAGGCTCCTCTTCTGTCTCCTGGCTGGGCCTTTTGCCCTTCCCAAAGAAACTTTCCAAAGACCTTTGTTTTTTACTCATTTTGCTAGCTCCTGGGTTTCTTTTTAGCGGTAGCCTATCACATGACCGAGAAGCGCGCCTTCACCTGCTTCAAGAGTGCCATATTGTCGACGGATGTAATGGAGGATCTGATAATTTTTCAAAATAAAACATCTTTCAGATTCCGAAATGAATAAAACTGAAGTAATGTAAGTTATTTATTGTTTCTGTGCGGCCCGGTACCAAATAACCCAAAGACCGGTATCACTCCCCGGTCCGTAGGTTGGGATCTACTGGGCTAGACCAGAGAGTCATGAGGGAGTTCCCTGACACCCGAAGGACTTGCAATGACTTTTTAAATTTGTTTTACCAGAGCAGTGTTTTTGGTTGGTTGTATTTTTTGTTTTGTTTTCACTACTGCCTACTGGTAAAATGTTCTGTACTTCCAATGTACAGTTGATACTGGGGCAATGTTTAGTAATTTTGGGGCTCCTTGCCCCAGTAAATGAGGGTCTGGTAACATCCCTGATTTTAGTACTTTTCTGAAAGAACAATTTATCAAGGACAGTAAATGGATGAGAGCCTGGATTGTGTTAAATCGCATTTCCTTTGGCCAGTAGAAAATTATGGACATCAAAGGTCTTTTGATACATTTGCTGATTGTTTTTTGTTTTTTTTTAGGTTAGCAAGGGGACTGTTATGCAGTTCCATCAATCCAACCATTTTATAATAATAATAATAATAATAATAATAATCCCCAATAATAATAATAATAATAATAATAATAATACATTTTCTTCCATTTATCCCGGGTTGGGTCATGGGGCCAGTAGCTTTAGCAGGGAAGCACAGAGTTCCTTTCTCCCAGCCATTTCATTCACCTGCTGCATGTCTTACTAGCCATATGCATACAAGGGCGCTTTAAACATTTCTGTGTCCAGCACTTAAGGAAGAAGAGTGACTGCAAAATTGGTTGTTTGTGCCTATCAGCAAAAAAAAAAAAAAAAAAAAAAGCATTACATTCACACTCAGACAATAAGAAGGAAACGTTTTGAACACTGAATTACAATTTGGCCATCAAATGAGACATTTAAAATTTCATGGTGTGTGCAGGGGACACATCCTGTCCTGGGATGCCTGGTTATGATTTTGTGTGTACCCCAACTCACACTGGCTTTGCTGCGCTGCGGACCACAAAATCCCCTGTAAGTACTGCTGCATATTGTTCACCTTTGATCGATTCGCTTTTTAAAAAATATATTCCATCCATTTTCAACACCACTTATCCTGCTCATGTTTGCAGAGATTTTTCTTTTGAAAATTGTTAGACGTGATACAACCCCCCTCGGTACATATAAAGCTAAGGGGTAGAGGGTGGAGAATCTTCCACATATTAATATATATACAGTATATCAATCTGTGGCAGGCGGTGTGTTTTGGACCCGGATATTTTGTGAGCTAATCCACCTCTTGATAACGCCATAACATCACAATACTGGATGTACCGTACGCCGCTCTCCAAAAAAAAAAAAAAGATACGTATAATTATGGCTACGTTCATACCCCAGAGCGTATTACGAAACAGTTTAAAACACCTTTGCAGATTCACAGATGATTGTCTCCCTTCCAAGCACTCTCACCCGCACGCATTGATAGGAAAGAGGCTTTGGCGTGGCATTAAAGAGCATTTCATGTATTTGACGATATTACCAAAAAATGGTTACCTTTATCTTCCAATAAATCACCTCAAGAACTCCAAACCTCTATCGTACAATAAAGTACTTTACCGTGAAGTTTTTATCAATATGAAAACTCGAAATAAATAACATCGGCAGAGATGCTTTGCAAAACTGCCTGTGGATGCAAAATTGATTATTCACCCCCACCCACTTCCCGCTTGATCCCACAAGTTCCGTTTTTCTTGAAACGAACACCTTGAAAGTGAATTTTCAATCAGCTTCCTCAATCTTAAATAACTTTTCGGCCTGCCCATCGAGCTGAACCAATCAGAAGTGAGAGCGGCTGAACCAATGAGAGGATGGATAAACTCCCTCGTCATGGGGCCTTGCGGGTGGCTTTCCGGGAGGCGAATCTCAAATCTGATTGGCTAAAAGAAGAACCAGCCATGTCTGTGTGTGAGTGTGTGCATTTGGGACCATCTCAGCAGTTGTTTCTGAGTTTTACCATTCATTGTGTTTTGATGAGGAGCAAAATGATAAATTTGTCCCACAAAGAGCGATAGAAGGCCACTTATTTCGAGCCTTGCATTACTTCTGTTCTATAAATGTTTTCTTTGACAGGAGGTTTCTGTTCAACTGGTCTCATGCTGTGATCGCAGTGGTGTTAAAAATTCTGGCGAGTAAGTACTGCGCTTTTACAAATACACATCACAGTCTATTTAATTTTATTTTTTTTTGTACAGTGGAACTGCTGCCATGGGATGTCTGAACGAATATTGGCACGTTTCTCAGAACAGATTGTGTTGAACCCTTGGGCCTAGTTGTTCACAACGTTATTCCAGACAGAATGGATCATGGATTGGATAAATTCTTGAAAATGGGCAGACCCCAAATTCTGAAATCGGTTAGATGACGGAAGCGGTGGTGAGATATGGGTGATTGGGGAGCCTCCACCTGTGGGCAGACCCCAAATTCTGAAATCGGTTAGATGACAGAAGCGGTGGTGATTGGGGAGCCTCCACCTTGTGCACATTTGTGTCATCATTTCGAGACTTCTAATTATGAATGAACACTCATGCGTGTGCTCAATTTGACGGACTCTCAACACCACAGAGATAATTAGCACCCTCGGTCAGCAGAACGAGGTACCTGAGCGAGGTATGTGTGGTATCTCACTCCAAACTTTTACATTGTATTTTCTTATTGTCTGTACAGTGTCCTTGGGTGGCATGAAAGGCGCTTTTAAATAAAATGCATTATCATATTATTATTATTTTGTTGAAGATAAACATATATTTGAAGACCGTATTTTCTGCACTGTAAGACCCTTCGGATTATAAAGCGCATTTTCAAAAATTGCCTATTTTAAAACCTACTTTATCCTCACGAAGGTCGCAGGCTGACTTTGGGCTGCGGGTGGCACAACACCCTGAACTGGTCGCCAACCAATTGCAGCGCACACATGGAGACATACAACTCGTACTCGCTCACTTCCACACCATCAATGAGCAAGAACTGATCTCACACTGCCCGGAAACCAATCAAGCGAGTGTACCACTACACCATCAGCAATAATACACCAAAAATATTCAATAAACTCTAATTAGAAACTCAATATTCACAGACATCAAAATGTTCAAAAAAATCATTTCTGACAGTTGCATCGCTTACTACATGTCCAGTCACTCTCTCATCCTGAGAGATTGTCAGAGGTACCGCATGTCTTTCGCGTCAGCTGGCTCAGGTGCATAAATTATCTTATCATATGGGGACATCCCATTATGACAAAATATGAATATTTCTGACTGATCCAAGTTTGTTATGAGCAAAGGTGATTCAAGTATGACGGATTAAAACGAGGATTTCAAAAATCCAAATAAATTGTCTCCAAATTACACCTTTTGAACAATTGGGCCTCGAGGTTCCACCACAATATGTTTCATTTCCATTCAAACATAAATTTTAATATTTGAGACGATTGATGATTGCTCAGGAGCAGCTCTTTAACCAAATTCTTGTCTTTTTGGCGCACAAGTTGCAGCGATATTCACTGGCCTGAAGATAATGGACAACACTATTGATCAATGGCTGATGAAAGTGATGGGTGGGTTGGTCACCTGGGAGGCTTTGTTCTGTATCTTGTTGGAAATCAACTTCAAGCGGAAGGTTGATGCATCAGGTGAATATACTGTACCTTGACTGTTATTTACATTTTTTTACCGTCTCAAAACTTTGACCACAAAACATATTTAATCCATCCATCAATCCATTTTCGGATCCGCATTATCCTTACAAGAGTCACGGGCGTGCTGGAGCCTAGCTCAGCTGCCTTTGGGGCAGCAGGAAGGGGACACCCTCAACTGGTTCCCAGCCAATCGCAGACGTACAAAATCAAAACCCACAGAATTTTTAAGTAACAAAAAAAAAAAACGGCAAATGAATTATGAATTGATCTTGCCACATTGAACCAACTAATGCAACATTTATCTATTTAAATATTAGAAAATAGATCTTAGATGACATTAAAACTGCACAAATCATGTACACAATAATTTAGTTTGTGGCAAGTACTCAGGCGTTCTTCAAAGTCAGAGTGATGATTTGAGAGAAAGAGGGTTTTTTTTTTTTTTTTACCTAATATACTGTAAAGCAGCGGTCCCCAAGCTTTGTTGCCCCACAGACCGGTTCAATGTCAGACAATATTTTCAGGGACCAGCCTTTAAAATGTGACAGATAAATACAACAAAATAATATGACCTGCATGAAAACTGTGGTATTTTCGAAACATAATAATAAACACGAATCACGACACGAGGAACGTCCTATCTGGCCGCAACAGTCTCTGGTCGCTATGGTAACATTTAAACGTGCCTTCAAAATAAGATACACGGCAAATACAAAGTGCATGAAAAATACGACTCACCATCGCCGCATATTAAGCAGAGTGGGCTTGGTGCGTGGGAGTCTCCCAGTGTTGTGTCCAAGGACCGGCAACCCGAGGCCAAGGCCAAGGCCTTGCTTCCGACTTGCTTCCGAGGCCAAGGCCAAGGACCAAGGACTGATTTTGAAACTGAGGCCTAGCCAAGGACATGTATAAAACAATGCTATCATACCACTTGGCAGGTCCTCATGATTTGCAACACCCCTCCATCATAACCTTTTGCACTCCCTAACGGTTGAATGAAGTGTTTTTATTCAAAGAGTAGAACAGTCTGGGTACGTGTTATTTATACTGAGAAAAAGAAATAAAATCATATGATATATATTTATGAATTGTTTTAGTGCAGTAGTTTCTTAATATGAAGTAAATCAACACTCAACAGGCATGACATGGCACGAAACACAAGTTGAGAAATGACTTTGCATAGAAGTCAATCACTGACTGCAGAAAAAGCGGAAATCTCTCAGTGATAATTTTACAGTTTACCGGCAGCGAGTCCCAGGGACTCACTGATCAGAAAAGTATGAGTCCCATTATGCATTGAGAGAGTCCCAAATTTCGAATTCCGAAATGGTCTACTTATTCAATTGCATATGATAATAACACAAACAACATATAC